GGAGGGCCAAAGGAGTGTGCTCCTACTGGAATGAATTGTCTTCGTTTGAGGAGCCATAAGCATCAAGATATAAGCAATACCTCTGCTTAGATCTCATTGGCTTATACTTAGTCACATGTAACCCTTGGTCACAGGGAGATTGGAGTGACTTTTTGCTGGGTTTATTATTATTTCAAATAACATTAACATTCTGCTCCTTAGGGAAGAAAGAATGAATATTGGGTAGATGGTTTTTATCACAGTATGCTTATAATTGTGTTCCAACCCTGAATGTATTTGTATTAGATTCAGAACTTATACCTTTCTAATTTTACCTTCATCTCCTGTCCTTTTTCAGACCATAGGAATTTTTTTTTTTCTGGGGTGGGGAGCAATTTCACTAATCCTATACTTTGATTTCCTATAAACATGATTAAGCATATGAACATGTCATTCTCCTAAAAATGTTTCAAGCCTTAGTGTCCATAATCAGCAAAGAAAGTTATATTCTACTTTTTCTGTCTAGTAAGTTCAAAATTCTGATTTAACACTGATAATTCTATACTTAACACTAAAAATGACAATTTTTATTGTTACTTGATTGAACATCTATATGCCCCTCAAAAATTCATTCTGATAAAATAGGCCTTATAGTAAAATGATCACTTCTGCAAATTCATATACAGCAATTGGGAAACTAGGGGGTGCACAAAAGGATACAATTAAAATGTTTCCAAAATAGTAATTAATGTACATCAGTAATTCCTAAGGTAAACTTCAGAAACATACTTTTTCCCAAAAAGTTTTAAAAAAGAAAACTTACTCTAATAACTAAGAGGGGATTGCCTTTGATATTTCTGAGAAGCTTAAAAAGCACTGTGAGCATCATCCTTTTGGAATGAAGCATGAGATTAATAACACTGCTCTGCCTCTTGCAGGGCCTTTTTTTTTCCTTTTGAATGCTCAATTGAGAACACACCTGTTAGAAAGTTCTGTGTAACCTGGATTTTCCTTTTTTCTGCTAATTCTGTTGTCACATAAGTCACTCTCTGCTGCCCAACTCAGCTAGCACCATTTAAGCCACATGGCAAGTGGAGTTATTACTCAAATCCTTCTCCCTAAAGGCTCAGCGGTTAGGGTTTTTCAAAGATATTTTGGTAGGCAGGGGACTAAGGAATGGGTGCTGCTGATTGTTTGGAGACACGATCATAGTGATATAGGAGTAAAGAAGAAATTATTTAGGTGGATAGTGAGGGTAGGGAAGTTCTTGGTAACATTTTTCTTTTAATGAAAAGTAGCCCCAAATCATTTTTTTTTTTCCTAACAAAGAGCAGCCTGTAAAATCGAGCTGCAGACATAGAAAGGCAAGCTAGAAACTTGCTAGGTGAACGCTGGCAGTTGTACCAATAGGAAAGGGGGTAACTGGGGGCTAGGCATGTCCAACATGGCAGCTCCATCTTCCCTTCTCTTTGCCAGCCACATGTACAGTAAGGAGGAGAGAACATGGCACTGGCCAAGTGGAAAGCCCATTTGAATAATAAGATTAGGATGGGACGGCCAGCTTCCCCGCATGCTATGTAACTGTCACACCTGGTCCACCTAATCTGTGGGCCCTATGTAAATCAGACATTACTGTCTCCAGCCTGTCTATAAAATCCAGTGTACTCTGCTGGGGGCTGGAAACCCCATTTGGGTGCTCTTCTCTCTCACAGGAGAGAGAGCTGTTCTCCTTTTTCTTTCTTTTGCCTATTAAATGTTTGTTCCTAAACCCACTTCTTGTGTGTGTCCGCATACTGAATTTCCTTGGTGCAAGATGACAAACCTCGGGTCTTTACCCCAGACAACAATGCCGCTTCAATAGGTGTTGGAAAATGGTCCTCATATGCTGAGTCCACCTCTTGGTGGGGGCCACAGTACCAGCTGAGTCATGAGTCATGCATTTGGGTGGGGTCAGTAGGTTGCCAGAATGCACAGGCTGAAAAATATCTCAAAAGATCAGTCTTAGGTTCCACAATGGTGGTGCTATCTATAGAAGTAATTGGGGCCAGGTGTGGTGGCTCACACCTGTAATCCCAGCAGTTTGGGAGGCTGAGGCAGGCAGATCGCTGATGTCAGGAGTTTGAGACCAGTCTGACCAATGCGTGAAACCCTGTCTCTACTAAAAATACCAAAAAAAAAAAAAAAAAAAAATAGTTGGGCATGGTGGTGTGTGCCTGTAATTCCAGCTACTTGGGAGGTTGAGGCACAAGAATCACTTGAACCGGGGAGACAGAGGTTGCAGTGAGCCGATATCACACCACTGCACTCCAGCCTGGGTGACAGAACGAGACTCTGTCTAAAACAAAACAAAACAAAACAAAGAAGTAATTGGGGAAGTTTCCAATCTTGTGACCTCTGGAACAATAGCAGTTTATCATTTTATTACGCCTGTATCTTAAAAGAATTCATACCTCATTCATAATCCTAACCTAGTGGCCTTTCATTAGTTTTACAAAGGCAGTTTAGTTGTGGGAAGGGCTATGGTCATCCTTGCTTTAAAGTTAAACTACAAACTAAATTCCTCTCAGTTAGTTTGACCTATGCCCAGAAATAACCAAGAACAGCTTGGAGGTTAGAAGCAAGATGGAGTCAACTATGTCAGTTGCTATTATTGTCATAGCTTTGCCATAATTTTGCAGTTTTACTAAGACAAATTCATTATGAATGAAGATATTTCACAGCCTCAGAGCTGTCTGTAATCATAATGATGAGTATAAGTAAAAAGTGCCAGAAGCTATCCTACTGTCTTTCTTTGAAATATTTGATGTTGTGCATTTTAGGAAACATGGAAAGAACACTGCCCAGCACGGGGGAAAGTAGGGACAAATTATTCTTGATTTTCAAAGGCTTCCTTCTTCTTTCCCAGGTTTCTTATGCAATAAAAAGAGAGATTCTGTTTCCTTACCAGAAAACTACCTATTTAAAGAGACTTGCAAAGGCCAAACCAAAGGTGTGTTAAAGCAGAATGAACTGCCTTTCTGAAATAAGTATTCAGCCTACTTCATTCACACATCAGGCTTCATGATATAATAACATTGCTGTTATATTTCCATTGGACGTTTTCTCTGAGCGTTCTGCCAAAAAGAGCCATTTTTAGAATTGAGAGCTCATGTCTGAATTTCCTATATTTGTACACTAGCTATCACAACCTTTCAAATCCTCAAGTGTGTGAAAAAGACTTGAGGTTGAATAGTAAAGCTATTTGCAGGTGTAGTCGTCTCTTGACCTCAGTGAGGGTTTGCAGCTCTTGAAAACTTTTGAGGAAAGCTTTCTGTTTGATGTGGATGATGCTGAGAGTTATTTATGTATTGTGGAACCAATGTAATTCCTTGGTGAGGAGAATTTTCCCAGCTAATGAGTTAGCAGTTGGGCTTAGGTCAAAGTGAATTAAAGTAGAGCTTTTAAACCTGAGTAGTCACATTCAGAGCATGTCCCCCTACTTGTAAGGGAGGGTGTTGGTGTTTCTGTATATTTTTTAAAGGTAGAAAAAGTGTGAGTAGGATCTGTACTTTCACTACTTCTAATCCTTTGTGGCTAGGGCTTGGTCATCAATCTTCCTGGCCAAGAGACACCTATTTTTCCCCTGTCTTAATTTTATTAAAGACACAAAGGCAGAGAGGAGAATACCTATTTATTAGTGTTAGATGCTTACTCAAATAACTAACAAGCCCCAGTGCCGCAAGAAATAAACCATCATATAAAGCATGAGTCAGAGCTGGTTCTGTCAAACTTGCTTTTAGATATGTGGTTGTTTTAGACATCAAGGCAGTTTATAAAATAAAATCCTTTCTGAGTTTTATATACTTGAAATGGGGATGAATATATTTTTTGTTTTTACGTACCAGCAGTTTTGAATAATCTCTAATTTTAATCCAAATGATAGATTTTATTTTTTAATTCACTAGAACTTTTTTCTAAAAAAATACAGTCATCTGAAAACAGATAACTGAGGTCATTAAAACCTGATGATGTCTCTCTCACTTTTTCTTTCCATGTATATAGGCATGTGTGTATGTATATGTGTGTGTATGTGCGTGCGAAATGTTCATTTGGAAAGTAAAAAAATGTAAGTTTCTTGAACTGCATTAAATAAGAAATGATTTTTACTTTTAATTTTCTTTGAATATAAGTTATTTTCTGACTGACTTCTTACTTTGATATCTCAGACTTAGATAAATAGCAGCTGAAATGACTTGCCATCCAAATGATGGCCAGTACAAATGTGGAGCACTAAAGTTTTCCTGTGTATCCCTGCATACACACATATATGTATATTTTATTGGCATATGTATATAATATGTACCCTGTATGTGATATACTATCTTATCCACACACACATACACACGCACAAACACACACATATGTTTATAGTATATACCCTGTATATCCACTTCTTCACTAGCAGCATTCACTAGAAAACCATACTCAGAAGAAATAAAGCAATACATAGTGACTGATAATCATATTACTAGATGCTGTTGTGTTGCCATGCTATAATTTGATTTTTAAATTAAGGTTACTGGAAAGAGGAGCAATTTAAATTTATGTGACACAAATTCTATACTCCATGGTTATAGCAACTTAATCATTGTAAACATACTGGAGTTATTTTTATTTGTAATGTCAATGTATTTAATAACTACATAGCCAGCCTGTATTCTACACCCCCACTGCCTTGGCTCTTTGCTGGGAGAAAAACTGAACCACTTCTATCCTTACAGAATAGTCAGTCTGCCATGATGGCACCGCTCCCTGTATAATAATATGATTCTACCCTCAGTGTTGCTGTTCTATGTTGAATTTGTAGCAGGTCTGTCTGGTCATATACATATGCATATTATTTAAGGAATAAACTGAAAAGTAGCATCTCAGTGATTATGAATGATACTGATAGGCCCCTGAGAAAATTCTTTTCTTCTAAGAAGTTATTGGAAGGCCAATTGGGGAAACTGAAATTCCTGATTCCTTTTGTTTCTTAATAGAGTCAGACCTGGAAGGCCTTGATGATCTAGGTACTGTTTATGGCAACATCCACCAGCAACTGAATGAAACAATGAGACGCCGTAGACACGCGGGAGAAAACGATTACAACATCGAGGTACTGCTGGGAGTGGATGACTCTGTGGTCCGTTTCCATGGCAAAGAGCATGTCCAAAACTACCTCCTGACCCTGATGAACATTGTAAGTAGTGACTCCTTTTTAAAGCTTTTTGATCTTTTAATTCACTTCTCTTATTTGTTGGTACCCTTTGGCAATCTGTGTGAGAACTTCCATGACTGTGCCCTGCATCCAAAATATGTACATGATGGCATTAAATTTAAATTATTGAGCTACATATTTAAAATACAAGAACGCTAAAATAAAGGAAGCATGAAGCAAAAGTTTCTTTTGGTTGATCAAGTAGTTTTCCATTGTTGTCAAGGGGGAATCATAAATTTAAAAAGCCATAATGATATGGAATTAAACCATGAATTGTAATTTTTATTTTGTTCTGGGGATAATCAAAACTCACAGGACTTTGTCCATCTGCTTTGATGTGGCCCATGAAGGATAAAATAGTTCTTTCTAGAATCACTCTGCTTCACAGGATTATGTAGAATGATTTATGCCTGGTAACTCTGTGGATTCTTGTTGTTACAGCTTTTGAACAAATGTGATTTTTTTCAACATTATAAGACCAAAGGTAATGTATTTATTAATACCAAGCATACAACTATTGGCACAGTGCTGCACAGCAACCACTAATGGTCTCTTTAAATTTATCTTTATTTCTCCTTTATGAACCTTAATCAGATTCAGAAGAAATTTTGTCAATATCCTGAAACCTGTGTTCTTTCTTTTTAAATTGGCAGAGAACAATTGAGGAGAAATAATAACATGTAAACCACCTACTTGTAAAAGATAATTGAGATGTTGATGTACTCTATATATTTTACCTCATGCCAGTAATACATGTTATATCGATCTTGCAAATTTATTACCTAAGCCTATGCTCTGTTTTCTTTCCCTATCTCTCAATACACCCTCCCCCTCGCACAACTTTTGATATTTAATATAATTTCTTGGATATCTGTAGTTTACCTCTTTCCTCCATGCTTAAGATTAGATTTCAAGCAACTGTACTGAAGGAGAAAAATTACTAATTTCATGAAACATGATTTTATTTATGCTAATATCTGTTAATAATATTTTGGTCTATTGAGATAGCAATTTATAAAATTACACTTATACCATGTCTCTGTGAAAAAGAAAATGAGTACAGAAATTCAAACACATGTTTATTTGTTCTTGGCACTAATTTCTGTTATGAAGACCAAACAACACACAGAAAACAAATTACTAGCCTTGGCAATAGATGTGTACAGACGATCATCCTTTGTGAATCACATGAATGTTTTCAACTCTTGACAATGAACTTTTCGTATTAACCTTTTGACTATTAACTTTTTGCTAGTTGTGTAACTTTGGCATGCTTCTTGGACTCTCTGTCCTGCTTCTGTCTCTTTATCAGCATATTGAGAAAAATAATAGGGATGTTGAGAGGATGAAGTGAGTAAATACAAGTCATCCATTATTTACAGTGCCATATTCAGATGCACAAATAGAAAATCATATTTTAGTTCTCTATACCAAATTTTACTTTGTAAGTGATCTAAAATTTCAAAATTCCTATGGAGATGTTATTCTTATGTCATTCATTATGTCCCTGGGCTACTTTTTTCTGGTATCTGGAAGACAATCAGTACAGACTTATTTGGCCCGCAAATGTGCCTAATAAGAAGGCTTTTGGAGTAATGCAACAGAAATTTTGATACGTTTCTTGTCCTCATAGAACTTATAACTATTAGAGGAGAAAAAATAAATACATGGGAAAATTAGAAGGAAAAAGAACCTAAACAATAAAAGTTATGCTATTATTAAGTCATATTATAGGCAGTATATCATAAATGCTATAACACTTTAGCAAATGGAGATGTGACCATAGTTATCCAAACATTAAATGATAAAATTATTAAATTGGAATTTAGGAGGGTAAGGCTTTAGTTTTAGTCATACTACTAGTTGGCTTTGTGACCTTAGACAAATCATGTCTCTTTCTGGGACTTAGTTTTCATCATTATATAAACTTGAAAGATTCAACAAGTTTATTAGTTATGTAATTCATCAAGAAGTTAGGAGTTAAACTGCTTTTAGAGATTTCTTTTCCTATTTTTGTTGTTTTTTGTTTGCCTTGTTTGTGTTTTTTGAAGGACATGTGAAAATGTGAAAGGTTTCTATGTAGGAATGGCTACAGTATATTCACCAGACAGTAAGTAGTAAGTATGATTTTGAGAGTGTCAAAGGAATAACAAAGTGATGCATTTTATGTTTTAAAAACAGTCAAGAAGACTTTTGTTCTTAAATCTATTTTAAAAATGGATAATAGGCTAAGATTCTGTCTCAAATACAAATTATTCTAAAATAAATAGAGTATCAGAGAATGGAGCTATGAGAGAGAAAATAATTTTTTTAAACTTAATATATTAGTTGCATTTTAAGTAATTAGTATTGGTAAGAGATTTGGAGAGGTGAGAATAACACTTGTCCCCTTCCTTCTCCAACTTCATGACCAACTGAAAGACATGGAAATCACACAGATGAAGAATGAAATAGTTTTATTAATAATGAGAACTGAATTGCACATACAATTGCATATACTTAAGTGTATAGTCACAAGGTTTTCATTATTTTAAATCAGGTTCTCAACTGAAGATACATTTGTGTCCATGTCAGTTCCCAGGGACATTTGGCCATGTCTGTAGACTTTTTTTTTATTGTTATCACTGGTGGTTGGGCCGGGGGTGGAGGGGAATGCTACTGCTAATAGTGAGAGAGGCCACAGATGCTGCTCAGCATCCTACAGCACAACAGACAGCCCTACACAGCGTAGAATTTTTAATTATCTGGCCCAAAATGTCAACAGTGCTGAGATTTAGAAACCTTGTTCTAAATTAGTCTTATTCCCAACTCCCATCACTCTCCAACTGGATAATTTCAGGTTTTCCCTCTGGTGTCAGGTGGACAACTTTAGCCAAGACAGACAGAAGACTGAAGTCTTCCCTCTCCTCCATACCACTGCCTTGTTGTAGCCTGTCAGACCCAAAATACTGACCTGAGCGGGCTCTTTCCTTTTCCTGTAATTCATCATCAAATGAGAATGAGAAGCAGAAAGAGAAACCGACAATGATACCCTAATGAAGCTAACTCATGGAAATTCAAGACCAGGAACATTCAGTTTTTTTCTAACAATGTTCAAATAACTATCTCCTGTGCTGGCCATGCTTTATGATTTCTCATGGTCAATTAAAATTATGACTCACCAGGCTTGAGGCCTACATAGACATAGAGACTTAGATGAAATGTCAGATAGGGTCCTGGAGAGAAACTGTAGAAGAAAGCTAACAGCAAAAACAGTTCTATCTTTCTGCATTGATTAGGATGAAAGGTATCCCTATGGTAGAGAAAAGATCTTGCTGTCCTTTAAAATTGTTTGTCAACTTTGCCTTGGTTGACTACTCAGCAGATGTGCTCTTCCCTTTACCGGGTTGTCAGTTTCATTTCCATATCAGAACCCAGATGGTAGTTCCTGAATTAAGGGAATACTTTTAGGTCCAAGTAATTTGCTTCAGAGTTATCACCTTAATTTAAACGGGACTCCCTTTTAAAGAGAAGGTTATATTTGTTGTGTCATGCTTTTATTGAAAAGAGCTCATGTATTAAGTGTTAAATGTATATTTAATGAAAGAAGAACAAATGTATATAAATAATGTAGAGGTAGATCAGGAACAATCTTGGGAGGGAGTCAGAAATTTTGGACTCAAAACAAGAGGAAATAGATGGCAAATGCAATGATATAATGGGAGCAGTGTTTAAGAAATAAATTATCAATTATTGTGTATCATATATTCTTTCCAACTATATTGCAAAATGGAAATTATTACAATTTTTTCAGAGGAAAAGGAGACTTTTAAAATGTTAATAAAATTTAGCTAAATTTTAAAAAATTATTTACAGTTCATAAAACAGTCTCAAGTAATGATAAGGTTGTAAAGCTAATCATTAAAAAAAGCCAGTGTTACTGGGAAGAGAAACTGACCTAGAATGTTTAAGTTATTTTTAATTTTAACTCAATCATAATTTAAGCGTAATGAGAACACTTAAAAACACAGTATTTGCTATTATATGTCAGCAGTAATGTTAAATCTCTTTGGTTTATCTGCTATTTTAAATTAGCCATGCAAGTTGTCCACTTTTTGGATACAAATATATTTAATCTATTTCAGGGCTGTATTTCCTAATGACAGTGATGACTGTGCGTGTGAATGAGGTAAAATTCTGTAGGTGTTGCCATGCAAATGTTTGGCTACAGGAAAGGTAGCTCACTATGTTAACACTTTTTCTCTGGAGGCTTGAGGGCCAAGTGAACAAGTTTGAGCAGGCCCTAGATGATTTCGATATAACTTCCCAAGAAAGGAAGGAGACCCTCTAACTCATCCCCACACCTTTGTGAAGCAGTGGAGAGAATAATCAGGTGTCTTCCATCTGCTTTTGTTTAACCTCTTTCTATTTTGTAGATCTTGACATTTCACCAAGCTTCCTATATGAAGAAGAAACACATGGATATGAACCTATCCAATGTTTTAATGTTTCAAATAAGAGATTTGTCATATATGTTAAGCCTTTCTTAGGATTCCATATCATATCTTGTTATATTAAGAAATGTTTATAGTTTTACTATCTTGTAGCATGGTTGACTTGCTGGGAAAGTGGTTCTCAGCTGTGGGGCATGTCTCATGCTATAAATATTGACGCATCGTCTGCCATGTGCAAGGCCTATTTTAGGTATTGGGAATATTCCAATAAGCATGATAAAAAATTGTTGACCCTCTTGGAGCTTGCCTGAATCCTTCACCAAGCTTCAAGAGAGTAGAGTTTTTAAAGTTTTAATTTCCTGACATGGTCCATAATTATCAACCCAAACCTCAACAGGAGCAGTTCTCTAATAGGTTGATTGTTCCTTGAGTACAGTTACTGTATATTATTAAGCCTCATAATTATATCAAAAAGTGTCTGCCATGTGGTAGACATGCAATAAAATTTTGATTGATTCAGCCTTTTAATAAATATTTTAATGCTATATA